TTGGAACAAGCTTGGCAAAGCACAGGGACCGCGGTTCGATCCCCCAGCACCACATGCCAGCCAGCTGCGCCCCCTGGTGGGCTGAGCTGCCCCCCTCACACAATAAAGAAATGTTAAAAAAAAAAAAAAAAAAGGAAGTGACCACAGCTGAGACACATGCCTGGAGCCAAGCCAGGACAGGACCTGAGTGGCCAGGGTACCAGGAAAGCCAGTCATGACCCAACACAGTGGTCAAACTCAGCTGACACTAAGACGCAGCAAGGCTTGCATGCCAACAGCACCCTGAGTCAGAGGATAGAGCCCAGGTGGGGCCTCGTTAGGCCCAAGAACCTCCCAGGACCCAACAGGCCCTGCCCACTCCAAGGCCTGGCCCAGCAGCTGGTACCTGCTGGAAGTAGGCAGGAAAACGGTGCAGGTACTGGTCATAGGGCAGCAAGGCCTGCGTCTCACAGCCAAAGCAGTTGATGTACCAGATGCCCAGCAGTGCCAGGAGGACAGGGGCGTTCTTTTCCAGAGGCGCCGTCCGGAAATGCTGGTCCTGAAACGAGCAGGGTGGGCAGGAGCTGAGCAGCTGTTGGGGAGGGACAGAGGGAGCCAGGCTGACATGGTTCTCTCTGGGCACCCAGCACTCACCATCCAGTGAGCTCCTGAGAGCAGCTGCTCAAAGTTGTCAAAACCTGCGACACAAAAGCAGGGTCAACAGAAACAGCCACAACCTGTACGCTCCTGGCAGCATCTTCTGGAACCGAGAAAGTCTGGAACTGGGGCCGGAAGAAACAGCACTGGGGAGAACTGAGCCCTGCAGAAAGCCTTTCTCATCAGAGCTGGCCTTGAGCTGTCAGATCTAACTTGCTCAAGGACCAGAGATGACAGATCTGCAGTCAGGAGAGATGGAGAAAGAAGAACCTGCAACCCACAAGAAAAGTCAGGGCTCCCTTCCTCCCAGACCTGAAAGAAATGTTCCAGCTGAGAGCAGAGAGGCCAGCAGCCTGTGGGGACAGCAAAGTGTTCAGGGACACAAGACCCCCGCCCCTGATCTCAGACTGCACTGTCATCCACCCTCCTTGGGGGATGCTAGACTCAAACACGTACTCACCCACATGCAGTGCGATGGAGAGTCCGATGGCTGACCACAGCGAGTAGCGGCCACCTACCCACTAGGAGAGACAGGAGAAGGTGCTGAGGGAAGGCCTGGGCACCCCGCCCCCCTCCCTACTGCCATCAACCTGTCCCTGGAACACTGCTCTTCCACAGGTGCAGCCCAGGGTGCCTGGGCCAAACCCACCTCTGGCAAGCACGACAGCAGGCCAGGCGCTGGTGACTCTCTGGCTGATCAGAGCCACAGACTTAACCAAAAACCTTACCAGGGCCGATCCTGTCTCCTGGAAGACCCAGAGCCTGGTGCTGGGCCTAGCTCACCTCCTCAGACACTGACACACCAAGTCTGTGCCAACTCCTCTTTCCTCAGATACTGGCAAACCTATTGCCTCCTACCTGTGCTTAACCTGCCTCCTCAGACACTGACAGTCAGAACAACACGTACATACCTGTGCCTACCTCCTCCTCTGACACTGGCAGACCCAGCCTCATACCTGTGCCCCCTCTTCCTCCTCAGAACCTGGCAGACCCAGCCTCATACCTGAATCTCACCTGCCTCCTCGGAACCTGGCAGACCCAGCCTCATACCTAAGCCTCCTTTGCTTCCTCGGAACCTGGCAGACCCAGCCTCATACATGTACCTCAGCTTCTTCCTCAGATCCTGGCAGACCCAGTCTCATACCTGTGCCTCACCTTCCTCCTCAGAACTTGGCAGACCCAGTCTCATACCTGAGTCTCATCTGCCTCCTTGGAACCTGGCAGACCCAGTCTCATACCTGAGCCTCACCTGCCTCCTGGGACAGATAGACCCAGAGCCTCATACCTGTGCCTTACCTGTCCTCTCAGGCATTGACAAACCCAGCACTTTGTACCTGTGCCTACCCTGCTTCCTTAAGACACTTACACATCCCTTCTTGGACAGTGACTGTCCTAGAGCCTTGTACCTGTGCCTTACTTGCCTCCTTGGACACTTACAGAGCCTCATACCTGTTCCTGGCCTGACCTCCTTAGCATGTGAGAGGCGAAAGCCTCATATGGTGCCTGTTTGTTGACTTCCTCAGACACTGACAGGCCAAAGGCCTCACACCTGTGAGAGGGTCCAGGCCCAGCGTCTAACACCTATGTCCAGGTACAGTGCCTTGGACAGTGACAGATTCAGCACCCCCTACCTATGCCTGGCCTTGCCTCTGACACACAGACCTTTTACCCACCATCTAGTCTTGGCAGGGCCATTCTTGTGACCATGTTCACCTTCTTGAACACCAATACTACCTTTACCAAGCCCTGGCCTCCTCAGATCCTGACAGAACCAGAACTTCCATCCTAAGCCCATTACTGACTCTTTGGGCAATACAGACAGACCTTGAAACTTGGGCCTGGGCCTCCTGGAACACAGGCCTGCTGCCTTATACCTGAGCTTGTCTGACCTTCTCAGCTTTGGGTTTGAGACACATTAGGCCTACAGCTCACACTGTGTCTCCGCATGCTAAACCCCAGCCCCTACTCGCTATTATCAGAATCTCAGGAGCTCCATGCATATTTTTGTAGCAACTATTTATGAAATGCCTACCACATTCCTAGCACAGGCAACCCAAGCAGTTTAGTGAGGAAGAGAGATAAGCACTTATGCCAAGGGAGGACTGACCCGAGTTCACAGCCAGCCCAGGCTACATAGTGAGTTGAAGAACAGCATGGACTACAGAGCAAGACCCTGTCTCTAAAAAACCAAACCCAAAACAAAACAAAATTAACAAATTCACGCCAATAGATGTGAACTTGGAAAAAAGTGAATACAGTGCAGAGGCCAATTATAAAAGAATCTGCCAGGTGCTTGAACCTAGATGTGAAAACTAAGCAGGCATCCACAGGAGCACTGAGAAAGCACATACGCAAAGGCCCTGTGGCAAGAGGAGCCTCTCTCGATAGTGAAAGGAGGGGGCTGGGGAGATGGCTCAGTACAATAAGCACCTGCCTGGCAAGCGCAAGAGCCTGAGTTCAATCCCTGGTGACAAAAAAAAAAAAAAAGTGTAAGGATTAAGCTCCAGAGAAGATTATGTGAGTGACTTCACCCTCAGCTCTTCCATATGCAAAGCACAGCCTTTGGCTTGCACACCACAAGGGAGGGCTTGGTGTTAGGGCTGTTATCTCCTGGAAGCCTGCCAAGAAAGGCTGGGCAGAGAGACACGTAGTACCACACAGAAGACGAAGTAAGGAGCGAGGCTGGAGGGGCAAAGCTGAATCAGAGCTGCAGCACTAAAGTCTGCGGGTGAGATGAGAACGAAGCCCAAATCCACTCCTTAATCCAGCAGTTCTCCAGAAAATGGCACCATTGGGGGCTAGGGTACAAACCAGAGGCGTGTGGCCCAGGGGTTCTGGGGTTCTGGGGGAGCCTTACCTGATGGAGACAGTCCCACACACCACGCTGTCCTTGAGCAAGCTTGCTGATATCTCACCTAACAGACTCAGTTCTAGCAACTGGACCTAGGCAGACCACCAGACCCACGTTCTACCTCTTCTGGGACCGGGTCCTCAGCTCCTGCTTTTAGGACAGCCCAGCAAGGACATTACCTGAGTCATTCACCTTCCATCTTACCATCTAGACCTTCAGCTTCGCCGGCAACACTTCTCTTACCCTACCTTAGTCGGGTGGACACTCTGTGCCTCCTGCACTGTCCACCAGGCCTTGCCTTACCTAACCAGGTAAGATCTTACCTTTTCCCACATTTGGACAACTAGGACTCTATGCCAACAAGACAGCAATGCTAAAGACCAGGGTAGACTGGTTATGGATCCTCAGACTTTGGCACTGTCTAAGCACTGCCTGTCAGCTGAGGGGGTGCTGAGAACAGGCAGTCGCCCCTGCTCAGGGCATTGTACCTCTCCTACCTGGGCGAGGTGCTCCTAGCACCTTCCTGGTCAGATCTAGGTACACCTACCTATGATCACCTTGGTTTTCTCCCCTACCAGGACCTACCTGTGTTTGACCTTAGCACAGAAAGCCACATGTGTATGACTTTCCTTCTCAGGCCTGGCCAGTAACGCCAAGTAGGCATTCCTGGGCTGGCCCTTAGCCCACTCACTTACCTAACAAACCTGGGGCACCTCTGTGTCTGAAGCAGGTAGCGAGGACCCACCTAAAAAGATGTTTATATACCTCTTCCAAACTGACCCCAGATCCACATCAGTCTCACTGACAGAACCAGCACTGGACACAGATGCAGTGGCTTCCCATGGGAGACCCGGCTCTGCTGTCCTGCGTCCAACTCTAGTACCTCTGCTGCAGGCTTACGCACCTGGCGGGACCACATTCCCGACATCGCAGTGGATAGCCTGGCTTCACATTTATTGACACTCTTGTGCCTAACCTGGACCCTTCCACCTCCAGTGACAGACACAGGCCTTGCTCCCCAAGACCATCTCGGATTCCTCACACTTTCCTAGAGTTCCAGCTCTATATACATAGTCTTGATCTCAGCAGTCTCTGTCCTGTTTGGCTGAAGACAGAGCCAGACAAATGCAACACTAAGAACGCCAGCTTCCCCTCAGCACCAGCAACCTCACCAGTACGTAACTCTGCATACCTGTGCTACTGAGATTTCAGATGTGTTCTACCAAGTCATGACTAAGCCGTGCTCCCCAGACCTAACTTCTATGACCTGGGTCAATACACCCAAGCCAGAATCATGCCCCAAGAACTTCATCTGCAAGATCCTGGTTGTCCCCAGGCCTACCTCCAGTGTCCTTGCTTGAGAGTCCACCTTTACTGAGTTGTATCTATACAATGGGCCTGTAGACTTCCTGCAAGATCAGGTGGATGCTCTGTGCATGACAGACCCCAGGGCTGCGAGTCTGACTGGAGACTGCTCTACTCACATTAGCCTCACTGCAAAGAACTGTGCCTCTGAACCCAACTCTACCTATCTGTGTTCAGTCCTCAAGGTAGACTTGGCAGATCAGCTTGGCCTACCCATGCATGACTCTGGTTCCCAATCCATACCAGGATGGTCAGCTCTACCTACCTGTACAGGACTTGGGCTCCTGAAACCATACCTGACAGGCCAGCTCTACCCACCCGGGCTTGTCCTGGCTCCTTGCACTGTATTTGATGGGTCAGTGCTATTTTTGCTTCACCTTGGTACCCTGACTTCACCTGGCGGGCCAGTTCTGTCTACCTACACCAAAGACCACCTTTATTTACTCACGTGTGATCTAGCTCCTCAGACCACATATGAAAGGCCAGTACATACCTCAGCCTAACTCCAGATCCTCATACACTTGAATGGTCAGCTTTACCCACCTGAGCCTCAACCTGGTTTGTCACAGTCAACACTAAGATGCAGGTTCATATTCATTTGCCCAAGTCTACTTTGTAACAGAACCAACTTCATCTACCTGAGGTCAGCCCAAACTCTTTAGGCCTCAAGAACAACCTGGCAGACCAGCTCTGCCTATGTGTCTCAGACCCTTCTCCCCAGACAACACCTGGATTGGCAGCTGTGCCTACCAGCACAGGAACTTGGCTTTTCATACCTTACAAGCCACCTCTGCATACCTGCATAGAACTCTGGTTCTTTATACCATACCTGGTTGGCCAGCTTTGGCTAATTATATAAGACCCTGGCTCCTCAGACCATACCTGCATGGCCAGCTCTACCTATACAAGCTTGACTTTGGATCTGCATACTGCCCACAGTGAGCCAGGTGGGCCTCCAGTCCTTGACGTCAGCTCCTGAGACTGTACCTGTTGGCATGCACTCTCTTCCTGCGCTTCATTGTGGCTCCTGATAGGGCCTGGATGGCCACTATGCCTACCTGTGCCTCATACCTGGTTGCTTATTCCTTATCCAGCACATTCATGTCTTCCTATGCAAGCTTGACTATGACTTCTCGCCTCCTTGGACACAGCCAGCTGTGTGATGCCCCCACAGACCTTACCTGACAAATCTCGCTCCACCTACCTGCTCTGCCTCACATGCCATAGACTGGGCAGATCCGAAGACACAAACCTGTGTCAGATACATGCCCCTTAGGCCTTACTCAGGAGCCTTGATTCCATATAGCCTGGCCATAGCTCCTCAGCCTCACACAAACGGCAAAGTTTACCCTACCAATCTCAACCTACCTAGGAGATTTAGAGACACTCAACTGGGCCAGGTCCCAGTCCCTCAGGCACAAACCTGTGAGACCCAGTTCCCTCCCCAAATCTTTCCTCCACTTCCCCAGCCATCATCTAAGCAATTCAGGTGTTTCTTGATGAGCACAGGCCTGGTTTCTTAGGTCTCACCTGACAGAGCAGCTATCTCTACCTGTGCCTGACCTCAAATGTGAAAGAGTTTAACGCCTTTTAACCATGGCTTTTTAGACCAACCTACCTTTGCTTACCCTCACAGACCACATTACCTGACAAACTCTGCCCACTGTGCTGGACCCAGCTTCTCAGACTTGGCAAACACACTAGGGCCTACTTCAGGAATTCAGGCCTTACCATGAGGCCCCACAGCACAGAACTGTGTGTCTCACCTTAACTACTCATGCCTCCCCTCCAGAACTGCTGTACATACCTGCGCCAGACCCAGACTTTATAAATTTTCCAGATGGCTGCAGCTCTACAGCTCCTTATCTGTCGCCAGCACTGTGACCACCTACCTGGCCACCACTACAGCCGCTTAGATGTTACCTGGCCCCAATCATGGATGGTTTTTGTCCACACTAGACTCAAGTTGCCCCTGCCTATAGTTCCAATGCCTATACTCAGCTAACGCGGTCCAAGCTATATGTGCCAAACCTATCTCCTCACATAGACCCTAAAAATTTCATCATACTGAGATAGCACCTTTGTCTGATCCTAGCCCTTCGAGACCTCAGTCAAGGCCTACAGACTGCACCTGACACGCACTTAACCAAAAACACCTAATAGTGTCCTGCCACCTACCTTGCCCTGAAGAGAACCTGGAGAGAACTCAGTACCTGGCTGACGTGGGCCTCACACAGTTCATCTTGTTGACTTGACTCTCCAGGCCTTCACCTACCACAAGCCTCTGAAACTGCATTTTAATTTTTAAACAGGGCCTTCTCTGTCCTAAGTTGGCCTTGAACTTGTGATGTAGCCCAGGATGGCCTTCAACTTGTGATCCTCTTGCCTCAGCCTTCCAAAGACTGGGATTTACAGGTGTGCAGGGCCACACTGGATTTTAAGCTGCCACAACTCCTTGGTGCCCCATCTATGCCTGTCCTACCTCAGAGCCCCAGTCCTTTCCCCTTTATAATCAGGCACATCCCGACCTCCCATCAATGCTCAGCTGCCTCAGATACCATGATCTCTGCCCATCACACCTGGTCAGTATCCCGAGCCCCATGGGGCTGATGTGTGTTGGACCAATCCTGGGTTCTCAGCGCCTCATATGGGGGATGAGCCAACCACTCTTAAGTACCTGGACCTGACTCTGGCTCTCCAGACCTCTCTGAATAGAAACGTCTCTAAATACCTGGGTTCAGAATTCACAAACCTCACTGGTACCTTTCCTTGTCCTGGTTCTTGCTCTGAATTCACTTTACCTGTCCTGGCTCCTCTTCAGATCTCTCCAGCCAAAGTTAGCTCTGATGTGTGATGACTCCAGCAGAGTCCTGATTAACTCCAGCTTACCAGGGCGCCTCTGCTTGACACTTGGCGCTGCCCATGACAGACCCCAGCAGGCCGAGCCTCGCGACGCGTACCTACCTCTACCAGGCTGACGCCACTGATCCCACCTAAGGGGCAGCGCTGTAGCCCTGTGCCTGGCTTCCTGTCTCTATGTCACCTGAGAGACCCTGACTCCAGAGACTCACATATTCCTGTCTCTAGCTTCTTCCGATATCATCTCCTCTTACTGGTAATCAAACTCAGGACACTGCACTTGCCAGGCAGGTGCTGTGCCGCTGAGCTATCTCCCCGGTCCTATATTATCTTCTTGATTCAGCAGTATCTACCTTGTTGTCCTCAAGATGCTGTGCTATGTGGCCCAGGAAGCCTTCACTGCTCCCTGCTCATTCACCTGCCCTGGCTCCATGCTCCTGTGCCCTGTGGTCATTCCTAAGCCTTCTGTGCAAGACCCACCCCCTCCCCAAGCCACAGCTCAACACCTCCTCACATGCTGGGCAGAACCCTGCTCCGCTGTGTTCCTTGGCTGGCAGGGGCACCACATGTCCTTGCCCACCACTTGCTCAGGAACCGTATCCCAGGATGCCTTCTCTCCTTTACCAGGCATGCAACATTGTTAGAAGCTGCACAGGTTCCCCATCAGGGGTTCTTAGCTGAGCCAGGGAATGCAGAAAATGCTTTGAGTGAGTCTTCTCAATTCTTCCAAGGATGGTACATAACTAGTCCCATTCTAGAAAGAAGTCAACTCATTATACACAATGAATGGCTTTGTGCACCGGAGCTTCATTCTCTCCCAGATCCCAGCACAAAAAGGTTTTGTTTGTTTTTACAGTACTGAGGATTGATCCCAGGGCCTTTGTATTAAGTACGTTCCCAGCTCTATTTTATTTTTTATCTTGAGACAAGGTCTCGTAAGTAACTAAGCTGGTCAGGCTGGAGTCAAACTTGTCATCCTTCTGCCTGATCCTGGTAGAGTGCTGGGATTCAGGTGTACACCACCACATCCAGCAGAAAAAGGCTTTTAGAACTTCCAAATGAAATGGTTACTGCAGATGCTTCTACCAAGCAAAGCCTCAACCCCAAAGGCCAGTGGAACAATGCTCAAATGGGCAAGACCCACAGGGGTACACCCGCCACAGCCCCGTGTTAGGGCACTACGTGATGTCCAGCTAAGTCCGCTGTATCCACAGCCCATGCCTCATAGCTTCCTTGTACCCCAAGGCCTCCAGCACTGCTGCACGCAGGCAAGCTGCAAGGAAAGCTGTTCAGGGCCTGGCTCCAGCAGAGCTCGAGTCCACGTGACCGCATCTCAATGCAGAGCAGCCTGCAGGCTGTTACTTGAAGCAAGGTTTGCTGTGCAAGCTGCCCAGGGCTGGCACCTCCTCCCCACCACCCTCCAGCTCCTGTCACTCTTTCCCTAGTCTACTAGGTCCCGCCTCCTGCCTCAACCTGCCCCTTGACCTTTACAGATTGTGGCTGTGGCTTGGAGAAAGGTCATCACTGAGAATAACTCAGCTCAGGGGTGGCTCTGGTTACCCTAGAGTGGGTGTTGCTGGCAGGTTCCTCGGGGACTGAAACCTGGCCCTCCACACTTAGCCCTGCTGCATGTGACGGTGGAGCACTCACTCTCAACTGCGGCTCTCACCCTGAAAGCCTAAGGCCTCTGTACCTTTCCAAGTTTTGCATGCAGCAGGTACTCAATAAATGCTGACCTGACCTCAGGGACCCCTCCATCTGTGGCTCAACAGCCATGAAATGGCAACGGACACGCACTTCAGCCAGCACAGGAAGCGCCTGTACTTACATCCCAGAACTCGAACATGTTTTGAGGGTCAATTCCAAACTCCTTCACTTTGGCCTACAAAGGGCAATGGGAAAAATGTTAAATGAAGCATTTATCAGCAAGGCAAGAAGGCGCTCCAGGAAGCCAGGAACTGTGCCACACAAGCTAGCCCCACATGGGGCAGGGTTGGGCTACCTCTGAGTGGAGGGTAGGGCCCAGGATCTGTTTCCACCAAAGCCTCCTGCTGAGACCACCAACCGGCCACTGTGGTGAGGCCCACACAGTGCTCTGTATCACCTAGAACTGTAGGGATACCAGAGAACGCCACACCCAGGACACCTGGGAACCACAGCCTAGGGCTGGACTGAGCACAGCAGAAGCCAAGCCAGGTATGAAACAGCCTAGACAGCTGCCAGCCCTTCCCACATCTGGGAGGTGACTATCCCGGAGAGCCCAAAGAGATGACAATCCCGTTCTTCAGGTGTGTAGGTAGGACCGGAAGCTGGCAGGGCCAGCAGCCTCTTACCTATTCCCCAAGGGGGAGAAAGCCTAGGCAATCTAAGCACTGCCTGCAGAGGGCGGACAAGGGTGATGTGGTTCCCCCCAGTGGACAGGTGCCAGAAGGGCTACCTTTCATTTCCAACTTTAGAAGAAACTGGGCCATTCAGCTGGACAAGGGTCTTGTCCCTATCTTCCCAACCTACACACTGCCTGCTGCCCGCCCACCCTCCAGGGAGGCCCCGCTGCCCACTCACATCTTGGGCAGCACTGGAGGTGAAGGTGGGGGCTGGGGTGTCAGGAACCCCTGGGTGGGTTCCCAGCTCTGCTGCAGCCTGGCACAGTGCAGCCCCAGCAGGGCTGAGTTTCTGAGCGCTGCGTTTCCCACAGCACACCTGCTGGACCCGCAGGCTCCACACCAGGCAGGCAGTGAGCACCTGCAGGTGGGTGCTAATCCCAGCACTTCTTCCTCACACAAGCACCAGCAGGAAAAAAGTTCCATCTTTTCACTGGGGCTTAATGTCCTTATGCCCCAAACCTAGGAATCACATCTCAGCTTGTGTCTTCTGTGAGGCTATGGCCATGATGTGCCCTGGGTTCTCCCAGGGAGGAGCACAGGAAGCCACGGCAGCACTTACCGTGTTGGTAGAGAGGGCAACAAAGTGCTTTGCCACTGCAGAAGCCTACAAGAAACAGATTCAGAGTTACACTGAACCCACCTGAGTGGAGCCACCCAAGGGTGGTGATCCTACAGCTGCAGACAACAAGGCCTGCCTGGGACGGACTTCCTAATCCTTGGGTCTGAGGCTATGGGAAGGACCTACGTCAAGGTCAAGAAGACAGAAGAGGCAAAGGTGGCATACAAGGCCCAGGGAAGATAAGAGGCCTCTGTGAATGGGTGAGGCCAGGAGTGAAGATGATGTACCAGGGCTGTGGAGCTGAAAGAAAGGGCCCTTAATCCCAGAACCACCAAAAGAGGAAGGAAGGAAGAAAGGGCCCTCAGTCCTAGCACCACAAAAAACTGAAATGGCATTTAGCGAGTTAGAGCACACTGTGACTGGTTTGGTATGCCGGGGGCTGACAAAGTCCAGGGTGAACAATCACAGCCACAAAGGCAGGTGCCAGAAGGGCTACCTCCCGTTTCCAACTTTAGAAGAAGGGCCATTCAGCTGGACAAGTGGTTTGCCTGGCTCTCCCTAGCCTACACATTGCCTGCTGCCCACCCGCCGTGCACGGAGGCCCTGCTGCCCACTCACATCCTTGGCAGACATGAGGAACCACTCCTTGGCCGTTTCTGCATTGGTGATGGTCTCCTGGGTGGTAAAGGTCTGCAACCAGAGAGCACAGGAGTCAGCCACTAGCTCAAGGCCAGGAGTGGCCCCGAGCCAGGGCTCAGCAGCAGAAGCCCTGCTTGTGCCATCTGTCATAAGGAGCAAGATGTGCACGTCAGTGATACCCTACACCGCCACTGACCCAGGCATTGCAGCTGTGTCTGAAGCCGGGGTCTGGATGTAGCAGGATCACCCTGTGAGCCCAGTGCTTTACAAGCAGAGGGAGGACCCCAGGAAATGCTGCAAACCATAATCCTGCCGGACAAAGTCCAGGTCACCGGCCTGGAGCTGAGCTAGACTGGGGCACGCTTCAGCCCAGGCCAACCATGCCTCACAATTCAGATAGAATTCATTCATTCATTTGTTTTGAGATAGGCTGCTTCTGAACTCACTATGTAGCCCAGGCTGGCCTCAAATTTGCAGCAGTACTCCTGCCTCAGCTTCCCGAGGGCTGGGATTACAGGTATGTACCACTACTCTGGCTCAGATGGACTTCTTAATCTTGTGTGCATTAAAGTACAGAGAGCATAAATACTAATAATAAAACCTCTATATTAACAGAACATGTCTCTGAGGTCAGGGAAAAAACAAACAAACATAAGGAACAATCGGTAAGGAAGTACAGTCCCAGGCTTGGCAGAGGTTTCCACAGAATGACTGTGGGTTCCTTAGCACAACAGTTCAAATTGACCAACGATATTTGCTGCCAGATAAGGGGATAGTCTGAGAGCAGCTACACTGATCCTATCCACACAGCATGGTTTAGTCAGAACCAGTCCTGAAACTCCAAAGCCTGGGGCAATGGCAGACCCACCCTCCATCCCTCCATGGGCCCCTACCTTGGAGGCGATGATAAACAGAGAAGTCTCAGGGTTCAGCTTGGCCAGGGTTTTGGCAATGTGGGTCCCATCAATGTTGGAGACAAACCACACCTGGGGACCTCCTGAAGAGTATGGCTTAAGGGCTTCTGTCACCATGAGGGGTCCCTGTGGAGAGACGCAGCATCAGAGAGTAAGATTCTAGGTGCCACCCTGGAGAAACCAAAGAGCTGGGTGGGACGGACAGGTTCAAGCCCTTACCCATCTCCAAACAGCCTGCTCCTTACCAGGTCAGAGCCTCCAATGCCAATGTTGATGACGTCTGTGATGGCTTTGCCTGTGTATCCCTTCCAGTCGCCACTCCGGACTCGCTGGTACAGAGCAGGGAGAAGCAATGAGCTCAAACCTCTGCATTCGCCCCTGCTCAAAGTCACCGTGACTTCTGCATCTTTACTTCAGTCCCAACTTTCAGGCCTTCACAGGAGCTCTTAAAACCCCAGTGACAGATCTAACACTCACCAGCCACTGGATTTATTTCCTTGTTAGAAAAATGGGGCCACATCCCCACTTCCCAGCAAGACAGACAGAATTTGTAAAACAATCAATTCTCAGCAGAATCAAGTGTCAGAAACCAAGAGGTAAAATGCCAATTATTGCCACAGGTCTTGATCACAGGCCGGAACATCAGACCTGCAGCCAATCTAAGCAGCCCTCCAGATGATTCTTGCTTCCTTCTATTCACACCCCTGCACAATTCCACCTATCTGCAGAGTAACTGATCTGAGCGCCTATTCAGGGATTTTGAAAACAGTATCTAGTGCATGCTCAAAGCTTGGTTATGTTATGAAAGAACTTGAAGCTTCCGCCTTGTCCTTGAGTCCCTCACTTTTGGGGAAGTCATCTACCAGGCTGTGAGGCCACAGGTCTATGTAGCAACACAGGCAGCAAGGAACTGAGAGCCCCTTCAGAGCAGCCGCCGCCACTTATGATCTGTGTTCAGGATGGCTGTGGAAGACAATGCTCCGAAACCCACAAAGCTTTCAGAGAGCTGGAGCACAGGTCAGTATCTTGACAGTGACCCCAAGAGACCCCTAGCTAGCCAAGGTGGTACATGCCTATAAACTCACAACTTGGGAGGCTGAAGCAGGAGGACTGCTGTGAGTTTCAGGTCAGCTTGGGCTATGTGTTAGTAAGATGAAGAACAGCCTGAACTACACAATGAGATCCTGTCGATCCCCAAAAAACAAAGTGAACCAAGACCAACTGGGTAAGTCACTTGCCAACATCTGAACCACAGATATTGTGTGAGGTAATTAAGGTTCACTGCTGTTGTGGTATAACTTTTTATAAATATGTTCTTTTCAATTAATTAAAAATTAAAACTACTTTTTGCCTTGCTAGGGATGGAACCTAAAACCTTACGCAGGGTAAGCAAGCACTCAACCACTGAGCCACATCCCCAACCGCAATGGTATAATTTGTAATGAAATGACAGATAATAAGGCAGATTTAGTACCAGAAGTAGGGTGTGGTGATACTGAAGGCTTAAGCATGTTAGACGACAATAGAAGTCTGACAGACCTTGAAGGAGGCTGCCAGTATGGGTTTTTGTACCAGAAAATGTTACTGGAGGGAAGAGAATCCTTGTAAAAGATGTACTTATTAAGGGCCAGCCAGATAGCTCAGTGGACTAAAGCGCCTGCTTAGGCAGAACGCAGTGGTTGAGGTTCATCCCTGGCACTGTCCCGGCCCCACCCCTGGGGTGTGCTGAGACAGTGATTGAGACTGGGTGTGGTGGTGCACACCACCCAGAGTGCTGTAATCTCAGTGCTTGGGAGGCTGAAAACAGGAGAATCACTGAGTCTAATCTACTTAGTGATACCCTGTCCTAAATACGTTTAAAAAAAAAATGTACTTATTAAAAATCTCCGTAAGGGGGGCCAGGGAGATAGCTCAGTAGAATAAATTCAATCCCTGGTTCCGCCAAAAACAAACAAACAAAAGACGAGGGTGGGGGAAAAAGATGTATCACTCTTTGGTTCTTTTGAGACAGTCTTAGAATGTAGTTCAGGCTGGCCTTGAACTCACTATACAGCTCTGCCTCAGTCTCCTAAAGTGGGGGGATTACAGGACTGCACCTCCCTCCCTTACCTATAATATGTGTATCTTTAGCAGAACTCACATCCTGTCTTTGACTGGACAAAGCTTTATAAAACAATAATTCTATAACTTCCTTTTCAACTTCCTAGTACAGTGTAATTCTAAATAGCATCTAACTGATTTTACCTGTACCTAGTCTGAATACAGGTTGATTTTCCTCCATGCAAGGTTTTTTTTTTTTTTTTTTTTTGAGTACTGTGGGTTATACCCAGGGTCTTTACATTGATCTATGTTCATAGTTGCGCTGGCATTACATGTGTGCACCACCATGTCCAATTCCACATCATCCATCCATCCATGCTATGTAGCTCATGCTGGCCTTTAAGTTACTATGTAGTCCATGCTGGTTTTAAATTTGTAGAAGTCCTCCTGCTTCACCCTCCCAAGCACTGGGATTATAGGTGTAGCCTCCATACCTGGCCTAGCTCCAAATCCTTTTTAAATGTTTTTTCACATCAGAAGGACAATTAATTGCTATAACAAGGTTCAAGGGTTTAACATAGCACACAATGGTGTTAACACTTGACCATCCCTCTTATGAACTAAAGGATCTCTTTCTCTGCAGCCCCTATCATTTCTTTGGGATGGAAACATTCTCCAACAACTTTTGAAATAGGCCCTTTGGGGTTTGGGTTTTGCCACTGTCACTAAGATGGCCGTGAACTTGTGCTTGGAGAGCTGAGCTGACAACAGAAAACAGGACTCCATGCATGCTCAGGAAGTGCTCTGCCACTGAGCCGCACACTGATCCCCTTGGTGAACTTTTGACAGCAACAGCCACTGTGGAATTGCTGTTCAGCAGCGTGCTTTGGACTATAAATACTCCTCAGTCTTAGTCAGGCATCCAGCAGCCAGCTCTAAGGAGGGCTACCCTGCAGGCAGCATCTAAGGTGACCAGCACCACACACTGCACACATGCAGGCTGGCCAAACAGAGCAGCAACAAGCTCCTGAGACCTGTCAGCTCCACCATTCACAGCAGAGGGAGAAATGCCTTCCTTACGTCCAAATGCACAGGGACCGACCACACTAAAGAACATTATGGTAGGGCTGGTGAGATAGCTCAGTGGACTAAGTGCCTACTTAGGCAAGTGCAGGGACCAGGGTTCGATCTCCTGCACCACAGGCTGTGCTGGCCCTGCCCACAGGTATGCTAAACCGGCCAATGAGACCGGACAGTGGTACATGCCTGTAATCCCAGCACTGGGAAGTCTAGATGGGAGGATCATCATGAGTCTGATCTGCATAGTGAGAGCCTGTACTAAACACATACAAACAAAAAGAACATTATGGAATCTAATGCCATTCTGGGCTGGAGATATAGCTCAGTGGTACAGCACTTGCCTGGCAAGCACAAGGTCCTGAGTGTATTTACAAAAAAAAAAAAAAAAAAAAAGGATGCTCTCCCTTCCTCACTGCTGGAAGTCCCACTTATGCAGCTGCTACTCCTTCAAGAACGAAGCCCAAATCACTTCCAGCTCCCACTATCACGATCAGGTCTGAAATGGCTCTTGGCCAAAGCAATCAAGACTTTGACCAGTCACACTGGTCAGGGAGGAGCAGTGAATGATCAGAGCAGAACAGACGATCACTCCCAGAGCATGCATCATTCAGGGACAGATATACATACACTCAGGCCCCCAGGGTCACCTTGAGATGCCAAGCTGGCTGCTGTCTGTCTACTCTTGCAGAATCACCCCTGAGAGGTGCAACAGTGGTTGACATGCACATCCCCAAACACCCACCACTCACAGGGAAAGAGGTACAGCTATGGACACTGAATACAACCCAGCCACACTGCTTAGCTTTTTTTTTCTTCTCCCTTATAGTACTGGAGATTGAACACGAGGCCTTTGCACTGAGCTGTAGTTCCAGCCCACATACTATTTTTTTTTTTTTTTTAAATTTGAGACAGGGTCTCACTAAATCACATGTTACCAAGGCCAGGCTTGAATGTATGATCCTCCTGCCTCAGCCACCTAGAGTGCTAGGGCTGTAGGTATACATACTATGTCCAACTAGCTCTCTTATCTTTCTCTTTCTCTCTTATAGTACTGGAGGTTGAACGCAGGACCTTGTGTTGGACAGGCAGGCGCTTATGCCACTGAGCTATCCCCCAAGCCTTCTTATGTTTCTAAGTGGAAATAAGCTATAGAAGAGCAAGTGGGAAAGTGAACCCGTGTATGTGTGTTTCAATCAGAAGGCAAGAGCACAGTACAAGTGCTACTACATAGACAGCAACTTGGGGGAAGGAACCTGTGAAGGCTGCCTCTGGAGAGTTGGCTGAGAGTGGGGTCAGAACTTTCACAACTTTCTAAAAAATCTGATTCTAAAAAAAATAAAAATAAAAAAATCTGATTCTGACTAGGCAATCCAGGCACATAACTGAAGAGTAGGATACAGCAAGTCTTCCTTTACCACCCCATCTCTCTTTTAATTCCAGGACTCTGTTACTGACCAGCTAGGCTGTATGTCCCTAGAGTTCTCCGTAGTTCAGACAGGAGGCTGCTGTCAGGGTAGGTTTCCCTCTGAGCAGAGACTCCAGGGGCAGCAGCCACACAAGCTGCCCCTACTTGAGGGTGAAGTGAGGGCCTGTGTCCTGCCTTGAAAGCAGTGGTGGAGCCTTGAATAAGGGTTCCCTGAGTCCCAAACACAGGTATACACATGGCCAAGGGCAAGTCTAGTCCAGTAGCTGTTTACCTGGCAGAAAGACTTCATCTTGTCCAGAACCTTGTTGATCTCTGGCATCACATCCTTGCCATCCACCAGCATAGGTGTATTTGACCGGTTTCGCAGGGCCACGTGCAGTACTGCCCGATCCTGGAGACAAGGGTCAGATTGTAAAGAAGCCTCCGCACACACACACATCCTGGAAGCCATGCTCCACATGGCCAAGGTGCAGCAAGGCCCAGGGGTCAGCTCTGCCACTGCCCAGGATGGCAGCCCCTAAGTGTCAATTAGTACCACAGTCTCATACCAAGGTCCTACTGTACACTTACAGGAATAGGAGCCAGCCTGAGACTCTGAGGAAGACAAAGCACATCCCATGTCCTGCTATGCTGCAGACATGAGAAATGGGTAGAATGGGGCCCAAACATGCTCAGGACGGGCAGAGTGGTGACAACACCAGTTGGAGATAAGCACTAAATGCCTGCAGTGGACCTCAGGCCTGAGGTAACCTCGTCCTCCTCATGGGAGGACATGGTGTCTGCTGACACCTTCTGAAGATCCTCAGCCTTCCTCATGTGAAGAAAAGACAGCAACACAAGCCTCCCTCACTAAGCAGGCTGATCACCACCATCTGCTACAAACCAAACCAGACCAGACCTGAAGCCTGTGACAGGTGCCAGGCAACTGGCCCAGTCATAAGAATGAAATGGCCCCATTCAGCTGAAGTCTGAGGAAGAGTCTTTAGTGTGCAAGAGAAGAATTACTTCAGGATACAAAGGCAGTGAGAAGCTCACTCCAATGAATGGTGCGGGGCACCCCATCTCTACCCTGCCCAACCTTCTGTTCTCCTCTCACACTTCACAGTCAACTGTACTCCCTCAGGAAGCCCTCCATGACTGCAGCTTCCTTTACCCAGCAACTCAAGACAGGCTGCTTTATTATTTTGAGACAAGGTCCCACTATGTAGCCCAGCATGGCCTCAAACTCTCAGCAATCCTCCTGCCTCAGCCTTTTTTTTCCTTTTTCTGCAGTACTGGGGATTGAACTCAGGACCCACTTGCCAGGCAAGTGCTTATTCTACTGAGCAACCTCCCTGGCCCTGCCTCAGCCTTCTGAGGAAAGACTTACAGGGATAGGAGCCAGCCTGAAACTCTGAGGAAGACAAAGCACATCCCATGTCCTGCTATGCTGCAGACATGAGAAATGGGTAGAATGGGGCCCAAACATGCTCAGGACGGGCAGAGTGGTGACAACACTAGTTGGAGATAAGCCCTACCATACCCAGCTTCCAAACAGGTTGCATTCGAATTCCAGCTCTGCCTCTCACATCTTGGATAAGTGCCTGGATCTCCAAGCCTCCAACTTCTCAAATGCAACAGGAGGCTAATGATACCACGAGGACAGAGACTGAGTGTTCAATGCTTATTATGTCCTCAGAATTCAAGTCAGGTCCAGGGTCTCCCATGCCTGGCCTCACCACTATTTCCTACAGGCTTCTATCATTGAGAAAGTTAAGTTGTGACATAAGAGTGTTCTTTATAATTCAAGCAAGAGTGAAGTTCTCTAAGAAAATGTCTGACAAACCTTGAGAAACTCTCTCCCCTCAGGCTTAAGATGTGCTCCTTCTGACCACACTGGGAGCCATTCCAATTTGCTCACCAAAGCCAGCCTGCTAGTCTTGGGGAAGACAGCCCCTAAAGTCCTGCAACCAGCCCCCCAAGCAAACAGGCCCTCAGGTTCCTCATTAAGCAAAAGCATTGCCTAAGGGAAAGGAGCAAGACACAGGGTGATGCTGAGCATCGCATGAACCTCAAAAGGAAGGGACACTGGGGCAATGTATCCACCAAGCGTGCTCACCTCGGTGTAGTTGATCTTCTCACCATTGAACATGTGCTCCCGGGCAGCCTCCACACCCCTGGACTTGGCCTAGGGAGAGAAAATGTTCAGGCCTTTTTGCTACGGCATTGATCACAACTCCATGCTCCCAAGCACAATGCTGTCGCCAGAGCTGGCAGAGGGTTCCCCCACTTCTTTTCCTCCCGTTGTCTGGGGCCAATGTAATCAAATATTAGGCATTAGGGCTCCCAGGGACCCTGCTCAGAGCCAGATCAAGGGCAGGGTTTCAGAGCCCTGCAGCAGCAGACAGGTGGTTACTGAGGTCCATTTGTTCCTGGGCCTCAGCTTCCCAAGAGCTCAGCTTGCTTGCCATACTGAGAGTTACAGATCAAAAATTCCACAAACGTGGGGCTGGTGAGATGGCTCAGTGGTCTAAAGCACCTATTTCGAACAAGCTCAGCAAAGCACAGGGACCGCGGTTCAATCCCCCAGCACCACATGCCAGCCAGCCCCGCCCCCTGGTGGGCTGAGCTGGCCACAAACACACAAATAAATAAATAAAAATTAAAAAAAAAAAAAATTCCACAAACGCAACATTACCAGTTCCACCAGCATCTTCATGACCTCCTCCGTCACAAGGTTCTTGGAGTAATCCAACAGTATATGCCCATGGTTGGTGTTGAGAGTCAAGCTGAGGAAAGATGCAGAGGCTGCTGGCCACACCCCAGGTCTCCTCAGTCTGCCCCCCAGACCAGACCAGAAACAGGAGGCGCTTCCAGAAGAAACACCTTCCCTGTGCCACACCCCAAAGGGCCTCCAGCTGCCCAGCAGCAGCTGCGCAGTGAAGGCCATGCCACAGAACTGAGATGGAGACAGACCCAGTTGTAGGTACAACTGCCCTACAGCGCCCAGGGAGTGACACTCCCTCCCAGTGGCCCCTCAGGCACCCACCCAGACGTCTGGGCTGGGCAGCTGGGAGCCACAGGCGCTCCTCCCAAGGATTCATAAGGCTCTCGTCTTGGCCGCATCAACAGGAATTAGGTCCAGCCATCTCCACTCTGAGCACCGCAACTCTCTACCTGCCCACCCAGCTCCAACCCGCACACTACCCCAAGCCGATAGCGGCCAGCGCTTCTCGCCAGCAACCTCGGCGAAGCATCGGCACCGGGGCAGTAGGAGGCGCTCTTTGCGGAATGGGGCTGGGAGGGGGCGAAGGAGAGAAGGGGTTCCTTCCCCCATGACTAAGCAGCCCCGGCCCCCAGAGCAATCGTGAGCACATGGGTCCCCGGCCCCAGCTCCAAGGAGGCGTCAAGGACACGGTGTGGCCACTGCCCGGGCCCATCTGCGGCCAGGGGTCCCCGGGACAGCTCCCCCCGGCCACGCGCGCGCACCTGAAGTGGTTGAAGCGTTCTTTGTCGGCTTCGAACAGGCGGCGCAGGTTGAGCTCAGCGCCGTGCTCGCGGTGCCACTGCTGCAGCTTCTGGAACTGCGGGTTCCGGGTGAGCGCGGCCATGGCGGGACCAGCAGGGTGCACGGACCGGGCGAGCGTGCGCGACAACGAGCAGCGAGGAGGGCGGGCGGCGCAGCGAGCGGGACTCAGAGTGCGCAGCGGCCTTTATGGCGCAGGCGTCCGGCCCCGCCCCGCACTCTGGCCCGCCCCCGGCCCCGCCCCCGCCGGGCCTCGCTGTCCGCTGTGCGACCTTGCAAAGCTTGGGTCTGCTTAGCCCAGGCTGGGCACTCACTCCATAGCACAGGGTAGTCACTTACACCAGCGCTCGATGGCTGCTGCCTTCGGGTAACTGGGAGCGGGAGTGGGGGCATAGGCTGAGCTCCCAGGTCTCATTCATTCATTCATTCATTCCATCACACTCTAGCAGAGGCTGGGGACATAGCTTGGGTGTCTAGGCACCTGCCTGGCAAGTAGAAGGTCCGGGGTTTGATCCTTTGTACCGCATGATCTGCAGGTGAAAGAAACCTAGTGTGGAGGCACACACCCATAATCCCAGCTAATAGGGAGGCTGAGACAGGAGGATCCCTGAGTCTGAGCTGAGTAGTGAGGCCCTTACCAAATAAATGAATAAAAAGATTTTAAAGACTTTTTTTTATAAACCTCTGTGGTACACCATCCATATCATAGGTAGTGTTTCAGTAGCTCTGGGTACACGGTGTTGAATAAGTAGAATATGGAGTATGTCAGATGTTGGTAAATGCAATTGAGGAAAATCAACCTGAAAAGGATGTTCAGAATAGGGGTTGCAACTTTATAAAATTGCCAAGAAAAAAAAAAAAAATCACCACTGAGGTGACACTGGGCAAAACCCTAAAGGGAAGGAAGTGAGCCACTGGGCTATCTGGGAGGAGAGTGTGGAGGCCAAAGGGAGCATCAACCACGAAGTTCCTGAGGCAAGAGCATGCTTAGATATTCCAGAAAGAGAAGGCAAGTGTGAATGGAATGAAGAAGAAAGGGACAGAGGCCGAGATCAGGGAGCAAAGGGAAGGCAGCAAAGTCCAGGATCTTATAAATTACTGTAAGAATTGGGGGTGGTGGCTCTGAAGTTCCAGAATTCTGGGAGGCAGAGGCAGTGTTATGGTTTGTGTCTAGTTGTACCTTCAAAGCCTCATGCAGTCATGAGATGGGGGCTTCCAGAGTTTGTGATTAATTCATGATCCACTGGGATTATGTGTGATCCAAGGCTGGGATTATGAGTCTTAGTACTGTTGAGATTATGCGTGTGAGTGCTTCCCCTAGCCTGGGGCAGAGAGCCTGAATGTCATATAAGAGACACTTTCTGTAGCCATTGCTCTTTGTTGTTGCTGTTCCACCGCCTTAAAAGGTTGCCCTCTGCAATGTGCCGCTCTGCCTTGGACCCAGCTGAGTATGGACTGAAACCTCCAGTAACTGTGAGCTAAATAAACCCTTCTTTCCTTCATTTTGGACGTTGGGTATTTGACCCAGCAATGAGAGAAGAGTAACTAAGACAGGCAGGAAGACTGCAAACTGGAGCCCAGGTTGGGCAATTTAGAATTTAGTAAGACCCTGTCTCAAAATAAAAAGCAAAAGAGGACTGGAGATGTAGGTCAGCCGAAAGGCCCTGGGTTCAATCCTCAGTACTGCAAATGCAGCAGTCATTCTACAGACACTGAACCCCACATGGTGGCTCATGGCTGTAGTCCCAGCATTCGGGAGGCTGAGTCAGGAGGATCGTTGCAAGTTCAATATCAGGCTGGGCTACAAAGTGAGTTCAAGTCCAGGTTGACCTGCATAGCGAGACCGTGTCTCAAAAAGTCAAAATAGGGCTGGGGAGATGCCTCAGTGGGGCTGGGGAGATGGCTCAGTGGAATAAGTGCTTCCTTGGCAAGCGCAAGGACCTGAGTTCAATCCCTGGTTCTGAAAAAAAAAAAAAAAAAAAGTCAAAATAAACCAACAAAACAAATAGAACATGCTATACAGGGGCTGGGGAGATAGCTCAGTGGCATAAGTGCCTGCCTGCCTGGCAAGTATAAGGTCCTGAGTTCGATCCCCACCACCACCAGGGAAGACAGAGACCTAGGACTACAGCAGGATGGAGACACTCTGTGACGAAGAAACCCACTATATAGACATCATCTGACATATTTTACAAAGGATTACACTGATAGGCAGGCAGCTTCAGTCAACATGGTAAGAGTTGGGCATGGTGGTCTGGATAAGGGAAGAATTCAAAATTTCATGGTAATAGAAAGGTCAGGATGGCATCCAGTTTTGGACCTAATTTCCTGGAGAAATGGAATTATCAATGATTTCAATAAAGAATAAAGAAGAGCTCATAAGTCACGTAGAGTGCTTGCCTAGCATGCCCAAGCTTCTGGATTCAATCACCAGTGCTACAAAATAAAATCATTGAAGACTAGGAAAGGTGCAAGTTCGAGCTTAATTTTTACATTTTTTTTTCATATATGTTGCTAAAGCCCGTTAGATACCTTTTTTCTTTTTTCTGAGACAGCGTCTCACTTTGTAGCCCAGGCTGCCCTTGAATTTGCAGCTGTCCTCATGCCTAATCTCCCAAGTGCTGGGATTACACAAGTGGATCCCCATGTCCAGCTTCTGTTAGACACTTACATAGACGAAGTGGGCAATCTCATGTGCAGTGCAGGGGAGAAGGCTGAGCTGAAGACACTTTGGAGTCATGAGTGAATAAACAGCACTGCAGTCACAAGGCTGGAAGAAATAGGGCTCACGAACTGGACCCCTAAATTAAGCTAATGTGTCACCTGAGTCCCCAGAGAGGCTGCCCTGCCACGGAGTGTGTCCATCTTGCTGTAGTCCTAGGCCTCTGTCTTCCCTGGCCTACTGCCCACCTCCATGTGGCTGTTCCACAAATGGCCTTTCTGGCCTTTCTCTCTGTACCCAGTACAATGTGAGGTCCTAAAGATGAAAAAGGAAAATAAGGAGTGGCTGGAAGGCCCAGAAATGAGTGCCACAGGGCTTTCCAGAGAACTGTCCTATCCACAGAGACCACAGCAGTGTTAGGCCAACTCTCTTAAGAAGTGACCGAGGGGCTGGCGAGATGGCTCAGTGGTCTAAAGCACCTACTTGGAACAAGCTTGGGAAAGCACAGGGACTGCGGTTCGATCCCCCAGCACCACATGCCAGCCAGCCCCGCCCCCTGGTGGGCTGAGCTGGCCATACACACACTAAATAAATAAATAAATGTTTTTTTTTAAAAAAAGAAATCTTTAAAAAAAAAAAAAGATGTGACCGAGTTTCCATTCCACACCGACCAGTCTTGCAACTCTGAAATTTCTGAATAGTGTTTGTATATGTGCATGCATATGTGTGTGCGTGCATGTGTTTCCACTGCTGGGGAAGGATAACTAGGGCTCTCTGTATATATCTGTTCTACTGGAGTTCCAGAGAAATATTTTTCTTTTTTTTGGTGGAACCAGGGATTGAACTCAGGCCCTTGCGCTCGCCAGGCAAGTGCTTATTCTACTGAGCCATCTCCCCTATTTCAACCACTTTCCCATTCAAGCCAGTTACTTACTTACACAAAACAGCACTCCACCCCCAAATCTTGCTTCATAACAACCTCAACTAAATTGGAAGGCAAGTCTCAGTAGCTATGGTCCATTAGCCACTCATCCCATGATTCCTCAGGCGATTAGCGCCAAAAAAGCCAGTCACTTCCTTTTTCTTTTTTGTTGTACAGGAGATTTGAACTCATGGCTTTCTCAATGAGCTACATCGCCAACTCTTTTTTTAAAAAAAATGTTTTTGAGACAGTGTCTCACTAAGTTCTAAGTTGTCCAGGCTGGTCATGAACTTGCAACCCTCCTCCCTCAGCTTCCCAGATTGCTGGGATTACAAGCATGTGACACCATGTCAGGCTGACTGCCTTTTTCTATTATTTTGGTAACTGCTGTCTTTGCCTAAAACTACTACTTTCTATTTTTTTTTTTTTTTTTTTTTTTGGTGGTACCAGGAATTGAACTCAGTACCTTGTACTTGCCAGGCAGGTGCTATGCCATTGAGCTATATCCTGATGTGCCCCCCACCTTTGAGTCAAGGTGTCACTCTGTAGTCCAGATTGGCCTTGAATTTGTAGCAATCCTCTTGCCTCAGCCTCCCAAGGGCTAGGATTACATGCATGGACCAGCATGCCTTGTTTCATCCCTTGCCTCTCTGATTACATCAGGATAACCCCAATCATCCTGTATTTTTTTTTTTTTAAGCTCTTTTTGGTTTGTAAGGACAAACCTGAGATTCAGTCCCTAGTTGTGGGGGAAGCAGTAAAGACAGCAACCCTGAGAGGTATGTAAGAGTGAGCCTCACATTGCCCCAGTTCCGCTGCCAGGCCACAGCTACCTGCAGCAGGACTGTAATCAATGATTCCTCTTAGTGTCTATGTTGTTTTGAGTTGAACTGTTTACAACTTTAAGTTTTCCAAAAGTTTTATGGATTCTCACTCACCCATCATCACACTATCTTTTCTAGTGTCTTCTTCCATTTAGGCTTGAGCATTTGTATAAATCAGGCCACTCAAACACACAGGAGGAGCTGCAGCTACTGACGAAGAGGCAGGTGGTGGGGCCTCTGATGACTGGTGTTACCATGTTTCACCTTCTTCTCCTCTAGCAGTTGGCCTCTGTGATTCATCTACAGCTTCATCTACTTGGGATTTCCCTACAATACCTTAAGTTTGACAATACTGTATAATTCTAAGTTTGCATGAATCCCTTGTCCCTGTACTGGGGATTGAACCCTAGGCCTTTACACTGTTACATTCCCCAGCCCGTTGTATTTTTTTTTAATTAATTAATTTATTGTGTGTGTGTGTGTGTGTGTGTGTGTGGCCAGCTCAGCCCACCAGGGGGCGGGGCTGGCTGGCATGTGGTGCTGGGGATTGAACGGTGGTCCCTGTGCTCTGCTAAGCTTGTTCTAAGTAGGTGCTTTAGACCACTGAGCCATCTCACCAGCCCAGTATTTTAAAAAAATTTTCAGACAGAATCTAAGTTGATAAATTGCCCAGGCTGGGTATGAACTTTTGATACTCCTGTTTTGGTTTTCCAAGTGATGGGATTACTAGTGTGTGCCACAACAACCAGTGTGGATTTTCTAC